TCCTTGCTGCCAGGAGGCATTTTCAAGGTAGCTCACACCTGCTGCACAGTGACCCAGGGACCAGCTGGTGGCTGTGCACAGGACAGTGAGGACATGGTAGGTGGAACACAGACTGCTCTTTTACCTGGATCTGGCTGCTTCGCTGCTGCAGCTCCTGTAGCTGGGTCTCAGCCTGGGTGGCCTTCTGCTGGGTGACCTCCAGCTCGGCTCTCAGCCTGGCCTATGGTGCCCGCCCATAGGACAAGTGACAAGAGAAGTCAAGGATTGGCTGTGAAGTCCCCTCCGCCCCAGACAACCAACAAATACCTGTAGATGCAGAGCACCCCCTCCTTGTGCCATCCCAGGCCAGGATGACCAGCGGGCTAGCCCACAGAACACCTGCCTCGGTATAATGGGGGAATTGGTGAGTCCCAGGAAGGCCTAGACCAAGCCCCTTCCGCACCTGGAGCAGAAGCCTTGGGCTGAAGACCTGACTTCCCACTTCTTGCAGGCTAAGCAATCTGGGGCAGAGCACGCAGCCTCTCTGGGCTGTACTCTCCCCACCCCCAATCAATAAGTGGTAGCAATAATGCTGGCTCAGGCAGCCTTGCTGGGAAGGGGTGACAATCCAAAGCTGTCTGACAAGTAGGGAGGTCGATGCATGTATAAAGCAGATTCTTCTGAGGACCCGGCTGGTCCTTGACTCTAGTTTTGGGCATGAGGGAGAGACGGGACCCCATTTGCCAGAAGCCCCCATCAAGAGTCTCACTACCTCGCTTCTGCTCCTCCCAACACTTTTAGGTGGGGACTATTATTATCCCCACTTCACAGATGAGGAAACGGGCTCATTGAAGTTAATAATTTGGTCGAAGTCCTCAGATTTTCCAACGCCTGTGCTTTTTGTCCAGGCCCCCCGCCCCCCTCCAGCATGGAAACAGGTGAGAAGGTAGGAAGTGGGAGTGTTTCCTACTGAGGTTCCTAATAACAGTTCCGCGTCACACGGACACTGACCTCTTAAGTAGCTCCTAAGTCTCTTAAGGGCAGGGACCTGGTTAGATTTACTGATATTCAGTCCCTGCTACACAGAGCAGGTGCTCCACACATTTACTGAATGAAGCGTGCTCCGGGAGCACCTGCTGCACACCAGACAGCTCTCTAGGGCGGGGAGCGGGGCCGGGGAGCCGACTGCCCCATATCCCTGACTCCTGCGTTCATTCCGAGGGCCTTTTCGGAGCATCTCCCGAGACCGTCCCGTGGGCAGTGCCTGGGGCTGGTCACCCCAGCCTGATGCACACACCCTCGGTTTCTGTACTGACCCCCAGCTTCTGGGGACCTCCGGTCTCCTGCTGAAGCTCCCCGCCTCTGCCCGGGCGCCCGGAGACAGACGGCAAGCCCGGTCCCGCGGGAGTCACCTCGGCCTTTGCCAGGCTGCGGCCGGCCGGGCCCCCCCTCTTTCCCGCCTTCCCGCCGGCGGCGACGTCACCTCGCGCTCGCGGCGCTCGGCGTCCAGCAGCGCCCGCTCGTGGAGGCGACACTCGCGCACGGTGCACGCGCTGCACACGCAGCGGCCCTCCGTCCGGCAGAAGAGCTCGAGCGGCCGCCCGTGGCGGGGACAGT